AAAGAGGAGCATTCCACTGATTGAAGAATTTCCTGTTGGAGAGGAGATAACAACAAAAACAAAACAACTAAGAAAGCATTGAAGCAATCAAACCATGAAGTCGAACTATGGAAACTTTGTTCATTCTTTCTGTGTTTTTTTGTATGGTTCTAATTTTATTAAACATTGTGATATGTACTTTGAAAATGAATTGAAGAAATTCGGTATTGATAGAAAATATTATATGCAAACTATGATAATATGTACATTTTCTAGAGGATGATTGGCTCATATATTCGTTATTAACAACATGAGTTTTAACCGGTATAGATGTAGCACCTCTGTTGGGTGCAAAATAAGAATGAAAAAATAGATCATTGTCATTCTATATTGCCTCGTCAGCTCAATGATACTAGATGTTACTAGTAACATATTTAGCATTTGACCATCATCGTTGCACCACTCTAGAAATACAAATTAGTAAATAGAAATCTAAAATTATGGTGTAAATAGAAATCCAAAAATCAAATGTTTTTTGAAAGAAAATATTGGAATAAATGTTTATTTATGAAATTAACATATATCTATACATCAAAAACATAAAGTTAGATTTACAAAACAATACTATATACAAAAACAAAGATTTGAAAGAAAACTTTTTGAGCTAAAATATTCAGTTTACATGTGTATTTGGTATCTAGAGGAGAATGAGTAGATTTATCACCCAAATAAGCTAAAGAGAGATTATAAATGAGAAAGGCACTTCCTTTCTATAATCTTCAGAACTTTCGGTCAATTACTACAGGAGAACGAGAGCCGCCATCAAGTTTCACCCAAATTTTCTCATCGACAGCGAAATTGATGCAAGCCCCATTTTATTTATCACCAAAGAACCTAGATCCTCAAAGGAGGCGGGAAGCGAAAAGAGGTCCGAGGAAATTTTGGGGAAGAAGGCGGTGATTGTAAAAAACCTGACTTTTTCCCCAAATTTTAGCCGTTGGAAACTCCAATTGTACTGCACGAATAATTTATAACCAAAAATATCGTTTCCAGCCCATTTCAGGTCTCCGAGCTTTGAAATAGTAATCTCTCAAAAGTTGATGGGGCAGGGGTTTTCTAGCCCTCATCTCCTAAAAAAAAGGAACCAAACACTTAACAAAAAAATGTTTTAGCTCCTATATGCAACGTGGTAGGTATTCATTTCTAAAAAATGAGGTTTCTTAGGGTGTTTTGGGCCAACCAAACAGGTCCTTATTGGAGTCTGTATTATGACTCAAATATAAATTCGGACCGAAAGACTTACAAGTTAGTCATTTAGCATTTAAAAAAAAAAAACAAGAAGAAAACAGAGATGTTGTTGTTGAATCTCTCATTTTGATCTTGATAGATTTCATTGAGTCTGTAAACAAGAATTAGAAGCGTGCGGAAGTGAACTCCGTCATTGGCAGCCAGCGGAGAAGCGACAGCCCTCGATGGAGATGATAAGAAGTAATCTCGCACGAAAAGAAAGATCTAGGGACAAAGAGATCTAGCGATTTATGAAACGTGTCAGGAGTCAAAGAGGACGATAATTTGACTGTTTATAGCCAATTCCATTTCAACAGCTCACCTGGCCGTAGCAAAGAATAAATCTACCCCTTTTATTCATCCAATTAAGAGTACAATTCTTATATTTTCAGACACTTGAAGTGTTTGGATGTCTTGAATCCTAACATGCATTTTATCGTATACCCTTGGTATGTTTTTTAGTTTCTAGATGCTAGAGGAGATCAGAAAGAAAAGGATGACTGTTAAGAAGAGCAAAGCCAAGAGGAGAAACTGACCTGTCGACAAAATTTTGAATGTGTGACTTGTTGACTGAGTATTTTGAGAATTCTGCTTTGAGAAAATAATTTTAGACTTTTCGGTCATATATGTCTTGGGTGAGACGAAGGTTTGGAGATCGATAGTATGATTTATTTTAAATTTTTTTTTTATTGTTTTTAATTAAAATGATAATTTCCTACTCTTCAAGGACGCGGGACTTGCTCAGAACCTCGTTAATCCTATGTCTATTTGTGACCTTTTCGTGAGATTTGCCCAACTCTCTGTGCTTTTCTGCAACATTGCACCAAAATAAAATAATAAGATCTTTTTCGTTAAAGGGTTGTTGATAATAGTGTATTGTAGTGGGTTTTAGTCCCACATTGCTTGGGAGAACAAACCTCACACTCCTCTACTTGTATAAATATATGTGCACACTCAATATTCAATTCAAGGGAAATTTACCCAAGATTCTCTCTCTCTCTCTTACTTTAACGCCAAAATATCTGGCAGATGAACGCCAAATAATTAAAAATAAAAATAAAAAAAATAAAACATTAAACGGCTGCAAAGCAATAAGGCCAAGATTTGGCAAAAGAACGCAAAAGCGTTAAAAATTTTATTGAAAGGGAAATAGCCCTAGCTCTGATACCAGAGCAGTTTCTTGTGTTTATTTAGGAATTAGTTCAGAACATCGAGGTTATCGTTGTTATGATCCCGCAACTCGTCGAGTTCATATATCTCGTCATGTTCAGTTCGAAGAGGATTCTCCATATTATTCTACTTCTGATGACTTTAATTTCCTCCACTCTACCGATCATGCTTCCCCGTCCACTGCATCACCCACTTCTTCACCTCAATTTTCCTTTCGAGATCTCCCTGACATCTCTCCCTCTCCTTCTGTTGACTCTTCCTCACCTGAGTCTTCTCTTACACCATCTAATCCATATCCTGTGGACACAACTCTCACTCCAGAAAATACTGTTGATCTTCATGCACCTGCGCCAGCATCTCCCCCGCCTGAGGTTCCTCTTGCTCTTCGTCGAGGCAAACGCCCACATGTCATGCCTGCCCGGTATGCTTCTGTTACTTCTTATTCACCTATCTTTCATAACTTTCTTGCTGCCATTCATACTATTGTTGAGCCAAAGTCCTTCCAAGAGGCAGTTCAAATTCCAGAGTGGCGACAAGCTATGGCTGAGGAATTTCAAGCATTTCAGCAAACTCATACCTGGGATATTGTTCCCTGTCCTCCTGGGATCTCTCTTGTTGGCAGTAAATGGGTTTATAAGGTCAAGTTTCGTCCTGATGGCACCATTGAACGTCGAAAAGCTCGTTTAGTGGCTAGAGGTTTTACTCAGCAACAAGGTATTGATTATGAGGAGACCTTTGCTCCTGTTGCTCAGATGCCCACTGTGCGTACTCTCCTTGCGGTCGCTGCTGCTCATCGTTGGCCCTTATACCAGATGGATGTCAAAAATGCTTTTCTTCATGGCTCTTTATCAGAGACCGTATATATGCAACCGCCTCCAGGGTCAAATATTCCTCCGGGACATGTATGTCTCCTTCGTCGTGCTGTTTATGGTCTCAAACAGGCACCCCGCGCTTGGTTTGAGTGTTTTCGCGATGTTGTGCTCAAAGCGGGCTTTATAGAAAGTCATCAAGATGCTTCTCTGTTTGTTCGCACTACATCGCGTGGCAGGGTTTTATTACTCATCTATGTAGATGATATGATCATTACAGGTGATGATATGACAGGTATACAATACGCAAAATCTCAGTTGCAACAACAGTTCCACATGAAGGATCTTGGATCTCTTCGGTATTTCCTTGGTCTAGAAATTTCTCAAGGCCCGCGGGGTGTATTACTGTCTCAACAGAAGTATCTCTCAGATATTCTAAATCAAGCTGAGTTAACTGATAATACAACTGTCGATACTCCACTCCAGCAGAATGTCAAACTTTGCTCTACTGACGGTGAGCCTCTATCTGATCCTACCCGATATCGACATCTTGTTGGTCAGTTGGTCTATTTGTGCATCTCTCGACCAGATATCTCTCATGCTGTTGGTATTGTCAGTCAATTTGTTAGTGCCCCACGTTCTGTACACTATGCTGTCTTATTACGGATTCTTCGGTACCTCCGGGGTACTAGCACTCGCTCACTTTTGTTTCCTGCTACATCTAAGTTAGAGCTTTGTGCATATTCTGATGCTGATTGGGCTGGTGATCCAACTACCAGAAAGTCTACCACAGGTTATTGTATATTTCTTGGTGATTCCCTTATTTCCTGGCGAAGTAAGAAACAAGATGTTATTGCTCTTTCCAGTACTGAGGCAGAGTATCGTGCAATGTCCACAACAGCTAAAGAGATTATTCATCTTCGTCGCCTTCTCAGTGATTTCGGTATTTCTGTTACGACTCCTACTCCTCTCTACTGTGATAATAAGAGTGCCATCCAGATTGCTAATAATCCAGTATTTCATGAAAGGACCAAACATATTGAGATCGACGCTCATTTTGTCCGTCACCAAGTTATCAAGGACAAGACAATTCTACTTCCTCATGTTTCATCCGCTGACGAGCTTGCAGATTTCTTCACAAAGGCCTTACCTGTTCATCGGTTCCAGTTTCTTGTACGCAAACTCACTTTGTTTGATCCAACATGAGTTTGAAGGGGGCTGTTGATAATAGTGTATTGTAGTGGGTTTTAGTCCCACATTGCTTGGGAGAACAAACCTCACACTCCTCTACTTGTATAAATATATGTGCACACTCAATATTCAATTCAAGGGAAATTTACCCAAGATTCTCTCTCTCTCTCTTACTTTAACAAGGGTGATCACTTGACACTCTTATATATGTTGAGTAATTTATAGAAAAATCATTAGAAAAAAATTATCACGTTATCAGGCTCAAGATCAAAGGCACAACGTGTAAGAAATCATAGTAATTTATACTTTACCAAGTGGGCAGAGAATTCAAATTTTCAAAAGTCAGTTACTTACATGAACTTAGAATTAATTCTTAAAAAAAAAGTTTTCAACGAAGTGTCTTTTATAGTGCTCATGTGCATGTCAATCACCTCTGACTTCCTCATCCTCAGCAGTGAAAATAGAAAACATTGCTTTTGTTCTCTTGCATGCTCCTAAAACTCTATATAAACCCCCCCAACATTCTCAACTCAAATCTACACGCACCAAACTATCTCATTCCTCAAATCAAAATGCAGAACAAAACCATTTGCAATTTGTTTCTTTTATCTCTTCTTCTTCTCAAACCCTGCATCGGCAATGCCAAAACTTCCAATAACGGGGGCTTCGCCTCTACCAGTGGGACACATTTCGTGATGAAGGGGCGACCGTTCTACACTAACGGGTTCAATGCTTATTGGATGATGTACGTGGCAGGGGACCCGATAATGAGATATCAGGTGTCCAATGCATTTCAACAAGCAAATAGTTATGGACTAAATGTTGTCAGAGCCTGGGCTTTTAGCGATGGAGGTTACAGAGCTCTTCAAATTTCACCTGGCAATTATGATGAGAATATGTTTAAGGTATACTACAATATATATAGCTAGTGACTATAAATTAATTTACAGATTTGGTCATTCATTTTTTATTTTATTTTTTTGGGTTGACAGGCATTGGACTTTGTGATATCTGAGGCTAAGAAGAATGGAGTTTATTTAATACTAAGTTTGGCCAATAACTGGGAGGAGTATGGCGGGAAGAAGCAGTATGTGCAGTGGGCTAAGGATCAAGGGCAGTGGTTGAACTCTGATGATGATTTCTTTAGAAATTATCTCACAAAGCAATTCTACAAGAACCATGTCAATGTATAAAACACAAGCTTCTTTGATCAGTGCCCTCTTTGGTATGTGTCTCGATCAAATAGCTTATTGTCATTTTCAGGCTGTTCTCACGAGAAAGAACTCGATAACGGGAGTAATGTACAAGGATGATCCTACCATCTTTGCATGGGAGCTCATGAACGAACCCCGTTGCCAGAGTGATAACTCTGGTGCAACTTTGCAGGTTTACAACATGAACTGTAATAATTTATTCATATAAAACCTAAACTTGTGGTATAATGTGAAATTTTTTATGATTCCAGAATTGGATTTCGGAAATGGCTGTTTATGTGAAATCTATCGATAGTAACCATATGCTTGAAGCTGGACTAGAAGGATTCTATGGCCACTTGAGGCCTGACAGGAGACGGTACAATATTGGTTATGAAGTTGGGTCCGATTTCATCGCCAACAATCAGATCCCTCAAATTGATTTCACTACCACCCATATATACGCTGATGAATGGTGAGTTTTCTTCGTTTCTATAGCATGCTCTGAATACAAAGGAAGTTTATAATTGACCAGGAATCCTCTGAATCCTTGGGCATACCGAAATTCTATAGTTGTGGAGCTCAAAGGAGAGGTGTCATCGGTCTCCATAACAGATGCGTAGGATTTCTAAGCAATCAAGCAAGCGTATAGAGGATTACTAGCCTTTTTACAACTACTCAATTTTTTGAACTTTTCTGTTAGTAGTGCACAAAAAATTCCAGCAAACATTGCGTCATTTATATCCATACAGTGCATGCCACCAATAATCCACAAATAACCCTCACAAAACAAAAATTTGCATGAACATACCCTTCCAATTTAACAGGTTACCTTCATGCAGGATCAATGGGGCTGATGATAATGCAGAAACAACTTTCCTCCAGAGTTGGATCGCATCACATACTCAAGATGCAGGATCCTTAGGAAAACCACTCATGATCACAGAATTTGGAAGATCATCGAAACAATTCAGCTCTGCACAGAGGGATGCATACTATCGGGCTACATATACCACAATCTATGCACTGGCGAGATCTGGTGGTGCTTGCTCCGGTGCTCTCTTCTGGCAGTTTCTCGGCCAAGGAATGGATAACTTCAGAGATGGATATGAAGTTGTTTTCCAAGATTGCCCCTCCACATCGAGCATAATTTCACAGCAGTCTCGAAGAATTGAGAGCCTGAACAATCCTTTGACTATGTTTGATACCAAGAAACTGGAGAAGACCAAGGACTACCTAGGAGGAATGTTAACGTAATACTTAGAGAAATTAACTATTTGCCTTTGTTTCTTCACAGGGGATGAGTTGATTCATCCATTTGTAGAAATAAATCTATAAGGAAAAGAGGATAGAGTTAAATTGTATTGTGTTTGCCCCATTTTCAGATGATTATACCGAGAGGGTTTATTAAAATTAATAAATTTATTAAACATTTGTTCTTATTAAGGTCAGGCTTTTATACTTAGAATCTCTCATATATGAATTCTGCATTCAGGGAATTTAAACAACATATAAATGCTGAATTGAGAATTAGGAATCTATAATTGCTCTTCAAGATTGATCATGAGATATGTCTTGAAAACTTTATTGGGCTAAACCTCAAAGGTTATTCCAAATAATTGAAGTTCAACACGAAGGATTCATTACTCAATTGAATGCGCGTCTTTCTAAATTTTTCTGAACATAAAGTTTTATTCAACCTTAACTTGGATAATCTACAGGAAATCAATTTATTTGACCATACCAATTCAAATTCCATACTCAAGTGCTAAATTAGTATTTGACACCTAAAGTTACGCAATTGATCATGAGATATGCTTGCTTTTTCCTCTATGCAAGTTTCTTACTTTTTTGGTAACAGTTTTTGACCTAAATTGCCTCCCACTGATAGTTACATTCTGGTACCTAGAAATTGGCAGAAACCTGCCATTGGTTGAGCTTCAAACACGCTTGCATAAATATCTTCTATTCCTCATCACGCACAATTCATGGTCTTGCTCATATTCGACTACTTGACTTCACACATATGCAACTCAATGTGGAAGGGTTCACTGTTCTCTTTTTTATTCATGCCTTCAGGGTTAAGAAACTTCTCCACTGTTGGCACAAACCCGGGGCCCAATATAGCAGAATCTTAGCAAATAGTAGAGATAAAAAGAAAACACACAAATTTACTTGGAAAACTCCCTAAATGAATTTGGGGTAAAAACCACGGGCAATGATAGAAGAATTCACTATGAGAATAACTTTGGAGTTACAATCTCTCTTTTACAATAAGAAACTCTTTCTATTTTCTCTCTTACTCTTCTATGTGGAGTTATTTTTGGGATGTAATTATAGCGACAGGGAAAATATTATTCCTAATTTTATAATATTTTTACTGTGCCAATCTTTCGGTGCTTTCCACTTTCGGTGCATAATTAGAGTGGTGGGGTCCATTCACTTTTCTCCTTCAACAATTCGGCTGATAATCTCCCACTTAAAGATTTGATTGAGTATCAATCATATCTTCGAACCATTTTTCTATCTTTGTCATCTTCATGTTGTTCACGTCTCCGACAGACTACAAGAGAAGCGATATCAAATAAATTTATCAGTATTGATTGTTTTTGTCAAAAAGTATGTTAGGTTATCTTTAGTGTGAATTTTTTGCATTTCCACTGTTCCTTCTTCCATTTTCTCACGAACGAAGTGGTACTGAACTCTAATATGTTTTGTCTTTGAATGCAAAACTGAATTTCTTGCTAAATGCAAAGCACTCTAACTATCACAAAATAGAGATATCTTCTTGTGTTCATACCCGAGTTGCTCCAGCACCATCTTCAACCATATCGCCTCTTTACTAGCTTGTGTAGCTACTACATATTCTGCTTCTGTTGTTGAATTAGCCACAACTGACTGCAGTTTTAAAATCCAGCTTACAGCTCCGCTAGCAAGTGCAAATACATAGCATGTGGTAGATTTGCTATTATCACAATCACCTGCATAATCAGAATCAACATATATCCATTGATAATAAAATCTGATCCCCCATAACATAATGTAATATTTCAGGTTTTCTTAATGTATCTTAGAATCTTCTTTACAGTATTTCAATGCTCTTTACCAGGATTCACCGACTAACTACTCTCACTGCTTGTGCAATGTCTGGTCTTGTACAAATCATAGCGAACATTAAACTTTTCATTGTTGATGCATACAGTACTCGAGATATCTTCATGCTCTCTTCTTCACTGCTAGGACTCAAAGTGGAGGATAACTTAAAATTAACAGGAAATATGGTAGAAATTAGCTTATAATCTTGCATATTAAAGCACCGTAAGATTTTCTTCAAATAATTCTTCTGAGAAAGCCAAATCTTCCTATTAATTTTGTCTCGGTAAATTTGCATCCCTGAATCTTGTTTGTAGATTCTAAATCCTTCATTTTAAATTCCCTATCCAACTATGCATTTAATACTTTGATATGATTTTTGTTAGGGCCTACAACTAACATGTCGTCAACATACAACAATAAGATAACAAATTTATTTTTACCAAACCTCTTAAAATATGCACAATGGTCTGAATTAAGTTTGTTATATCCAAGTCTCATGATGAATGAATCAAATCTCTTTTACTAACACATCGGCACCTGTTTTAGATCGTACAGAGATTTGTTCAATCTGCAAACTAAGATCTCTTTTTTTATTTTTCTTTAAAACCTTCTGGTTGGAGCATGTAAATTTCTTCTTCAAGATCTCCATGAAGATATGTTGTTTTTACATTTAGCTGTTATAGATATAAGTCAAATATAACGCTCATAGCCAGGACTATTCAGTCTGTTGTAAGTCGAACTACATGAGAAAATATTTCATAAAGTCAATACCTTTTTTTTAGCATATCCTTTATCACCAATCTAGCACGATATCGCTCCACTTGATGATCATCATTTCGCTTGATCTTATAGACCCATTTATTTTCAATGGTTTTTCTTCCTTGTGGAAATGACACAAGTACTCAAATCTTATTCTTATGGAGAGCTTCAATTCCTTCCTACATTGTCCACAAAGATGCATCTGTACTATTTATAGCTTCATAAAAAGTTGATGGATCTTCATTCTTTGTTAGAAGACAGTACGCAACATTACTCTCTGTAATATACTCTGAGTGTCAAGTCTGTGGTCTTCTCTCACGAGTTGACCTTCGAATTGTTGGAGCCTCAGACTTGACTGGTTCTTATACATCATGCTCCGGTGTTACTTTAGAAAATTTTGGATCATTTTCTACCTGACCAGCTACAGTCTCTGAGTCCTTTCTTGAACTGTTTTATTTTCTTTACTTTATAGTTGTTTCTCTACAAAGATAACATCCCTGCTGATGATAACCTTGCAGGCAGTGGGATCCTACAAGTGATACCCCTTTACTCCGTCAACATACCCTAAGAATATGCATTTTCTGAATTTTGAATCCAGCTTTGTAATTTCTTGGGCATTGTACATTACGTAACTGGACTTCTAAATATATAGAGGTTAGAATAATCAGCTGGATTGCTGGTCCACATCTCCATCAACGTCTTTTACTATATTATAGTTGATAGAGATTGATTCACCACATAACAGGTAGTTTTTATTGCTTCCACCCAAAAGATTTTATCCAGATTTGCAGTTGCCAATATTGCTCTTATTCTTTTCAACAGAGTTCTGTTCATCCGCTCCACCACTCCATTTTGTTAAGGAGTATAAGCAGTACTGAATTGTCTTTTGATGCCTTCTTGCTTGCAGAATGCAAAAAAAAAAATACTGTATGTATATTCTCCACTATTATCTGACTTTAAGCACTTGATCTTCTTTTCAGATTCAAGCTCGACTCACGCTTTATAAGCTTTAAAGATTGAGAACACAGCCTTCTTCTTGATAGGATACACCCAACATCTCTTGGAGTAATCATCAATAAAGGACACAAAGTACTTTGCTCCTCCCATGGATGTAACTTGTGCTTGTCATACATCAAAATAAACTAGTTCTAGAATAACCTTACTTCTAGGACTTGATGTGTTGAACTTTAACCGATGTTGCTTACTTGTGACACAATGCTCGCAAAATGGAAGAGCTACTAAATTAAGTCCAGGAAGCAACTTCTGATCGGAGAGAATCTTCAAGCCTCGTTCTAATATGTGGCCTAGTTTGTGATGACACATCATGGTTTATTCTTCTCCATGGCTAGTTGATGTCACACATGAATCAACTTCCTGTAATGTTTCTCCCTTGAGCATGTATACATTTGCAGCTATCTTTCCTCCTTTTATCACAACAAGTGCCCCTCTAGTAATCTTCATGATCTCATTTTTTATATGGGTCTTACATCCGAGCTCATCCAATTATCCTAAAGATAACAGATTCTTCTTCAAGCCTTTCACATATCGTACATCTTGAATGGTGCGTATTGTACTATCAAATATTTTGATTTTGATATTGTCAATACCAGAAATTTCTAAGGCATGATCATTACCCATGAATACAGATCCTCCTGAGATAGGTTCATATTTGTGGAATCATTCTCTCCGGGAAGTCATGTGTCAGGAAGTTGCTGAATTTAGAAACCAGACATCAGCAAATCTCTTTTTGCCTTCATCAACAGTGGTTGCTCCACTGTATAAAATTTTACCAACATCTGACGTGCTAATAATATATCCTTGAGATGTTGATGGCTCTGAAGATTTTTTATCACTATTTTTCTTATTGTGCTAATATTCTGATTTCATGTGCCCTCTTTTGCCACAATTATAGCATTTGATATTCTTCTTACTTCTTGATTTTGATCTACCATGAGTATGACTCCCACTGGAGCCACGTTCTATTGATCTTCCTCTCGTCACCAATAAGGCATTCGCTTGTTGTGAACTTGTCTGTCTGTCTTCCTTGTTCTTGCATTGATTTTCTTCCTCCAGAACAGCGGCTGCAACGTTGTCAAAGACTAGATTGTTTCTGAGGATGTTGTTTGTTAGGTTGATGATGAGCTGATCATACGAGTCAGATAGACTCTGAAGTAGAAGTTCTGCATGTTCATTCACACTGATAGTATGCCTCAACGTTGTGAGTTGGGAGAACAATGTATTTAGGATGTTAATGTAGTCGGTCATCGATGTAGATTTCGTCATCCTTAGAGTGTAAAGTCTTCTTTTTAAGATGATTTTGTTGTACAAGGATTTTTCCTCATATAGCTTTGTTAGAGTGTCATATATCTCATTTGTTGTATTTTTATCCTCTATGCTTGACAGCGCCCCATCTACTAATGCCAGATGGATATTTACAATAGCATTCTCATTCATCTCGTTCCACTTCTTATCATCTGTGATGTCATCTGGACTTGCACCGATGGCCGCTAGACAATTATCTTTTCTCAAAATATTCTTTATCTTCAACTTTTACAAGGAGAAATTACTCCTGTTGAATTTCTCGATCTCGAACTTCGCCGCCATTGCTTCTACCACGAACAATAACTTTTTACTATTTCACGTAATCAGTAACTGTATTTATGAACAGTAAGTGCATCCTTGAATAGTACTGTACTTATGAATAGTACCATATTTATGAACAATATCGTGGTCATGAATAGTACTATCACCTTCAAAGGGTAAATGATAATCTAACTTATTTTTTTATGTGGAGGATCCACCTTTGGTAGCAGACATAGAGCATACGATAAGTAGATACACGCACCCTGAGCCAGCTTTTGATACTACTTGTTGGGACAAACCCGAGGCCTAATATAGCAAAGTCTCAACAAATAGTAGAGATAAAAAGAACACACAAATTTACATAGAAAACCCCCTAAATGAATTTGAGGTAAAAACCACGGGCAAGAACAGAAGAACCCACTATGAGAAAAAATTTAGAGTTTCAATCTTTTTTTACAAGGAGAAACTCTCTAATTTTCTCTCTCACTCTTCTATATGTGGAGTTGTTTCTGGGATGAATTTTTCCTGAAGAATTTTGAGCCTATTTATAGCGGCTGGGAAAACACTATTCCTAATTTTATAATATTTTTACTGTGCCAATCTTTCGGTGCTTTCCACTTTTGGTGTATAATTAAAGTGGTGGGGGTCATTCACTTTTCTCCTTCAACAATTTTGTCTGACATCCAGAACTAACAATCACTTGAAAAGGATCTCCCCTGAATTTGGATACCTAACCAATTTGTACATGTTCAACTCTACGAACGTTTCCTTTGTCAAATGCATCCATGTTTCGTCAAATCGTTGACAAACTAACCGAAAGTTATGATGAATTTTCAGATTCAAACATTCAGCAACCTACTTTGCGCCAAGGATCTCGTCCTTTTCTTATTCATCGGACCGACGACATACATAAGAAAAGAAATTCAGTGAATTTAGTCGGAAGATTCAGAAATATTGACAAGCAAATTAAGTATTAGATCGATTGAGAGAGCACACGGAAGCGACCCAAAAGAAAAAACCAATCAACTAGTCCAAGAATACATGAACTCCCAGAAACCAGTACCATCGTTCAAGCCATAAACACCCTCTTCAGCCATGATCCACGAGCAATTAGAACTGCATCTAGCTCGATCTCTCTGATAATCAAACGCATCAAAAACGAACGAGCGCACCTTCTCCCATCCCATATCACAGTAAAAGAGGGTAGTACCACTAACATTCACAGAAAAATCCCATCCATACTGATCACCATCGGCCACAGTCTTCGGCCCGAGATCGTTATCTTTGGACTGACAGTGTATGTTGATGCTCCTTCCATCCCCCAACCTGTTCACGACGCTAACGTGCACCTTTTCTGATGAAGTAGATGCCATTAGAAATAGCGTCATAAGGATATGCATTCTTATAGAGCTCATTTTTGCTAGACGTATTGATTTGGGTTTATTGGTTCTTTATATAGAGGAGCTATATTTGTGATTAGCTTCATAGATTAGTATATATGGTAGGAATTAAATCAATATATTATGATAATTGCAGATATGGTACGTAGACGTAATGTCTTAACGTCTTGGCATTTCTGTTTGGCGTCATGAGCTGGTGGTGAGTATTCCTGGAGGTTTTATAGGCAAGTTCAAATGCTCGAGAAAAGTTAATAATAATTAAACTAAGAATCCAAATTCATTAAGTTAATAAATGAATTGTTAAATGGATTCAAACGGGTCGACCCGACCCAACTTGACCTGACCCATTTAAATTTTGACCTGACCCGTATAATATTGACCCGACCCGATGTATTAAATAATCGGATCAACCCGTTTATTGAATAGGTTACCCACCGACCCAAGTGACCTATTTATTGGTTTTATAATCAATGCAACTTATTTCATGTACTTAACATAAAGTCCATGATCAAAGTTTTTGTGGTCCTATTTATCATTCATAGGTTTTGTACTGTTTAGAAGTTTAGATATTTTGTGGCATGGTTTTTGCAAAATTTTAATTTTGAGGATGTTTTTTTTATTTTCAGGGACTTTTGCTAATGTATGAACTCTATACTCTCTAAAAGTTTTGACTTTTCACGTTTTTCTTAAATTTTGAATTTTTAGGGTGTTTTTTATAGTTTTTGAAGGTTTCAAGTTGTTTTTGACTGATACCAAAAGTTACATGTTGTTGTTTATAAGCTATAGATTTTATATTGTTTTAAGTTTTGATATTTTTGGCGTGTATTTTTGTAAAATTTGACCATTTTAGGATGTATTTTACATTTTTGAAACTTTCATGGTGTTTTCTGCAAAGTTCAAAATTTTCACGGTGCTGTTTATAACTTATAGATTTTGTCTGTTTATAAATTTTGATATTTTTGGCGACATTTTTCTATAAAAGTTTGACTTTTGAGGGTTTATTTTATAATTTTCCAAACTTTTAGGCTGTTTTTTGCAAATTTCAAAAAATTAATGTTGATGCTTATAACTTATAAATTTGTACCTTTTGTAAGATTTTATATTTCTGGGGTGTGTTTTTATAAAAGTTTGACTTTTCGAGCATGTAGTTTGCAATTTTCAAAAAATTAGGGTGTTTTTTTGTAAAACTCAAAACTTTCACTTGGTTTTTGTAATTTATAAATTCTAAAATTTCCATTGTTTGTAAGTTTCAGTTTTCTAGTTTTTTTAAAGTTTTGACTTATTTTGAGGGTTTTTTACAACTTTTGAAACTACCCGAGTGTTTTGTACAAATTTCAAAATTTCCATGGTACTATGTATAAGTTCTATATTGTGTACTGTTTGTGGATTTTGATTTTTATGGGGTGTGTTTTTGTTAAATTTGACTTATTTAGGTTTTTTACAACTTTTGAAACTATCAGTGCGTTTTTGCAAATTTTAAACTTTTCATGGTGTTGTTTACAAGTTATAGATCTTGTAATGTATGTAGGTTTTGATATTTTTGGGATGTGTTTTTGTAAATTTGACTTTTTGAGGGTGTATTTGCAGCTTTTGAAATTTTTAGGGTGTTTTTTATAAAATTTTAAAAATTTCATGTTGTTGCTTATAATTTATAGATTTTGAACTGTTTTGTAAGTCTTATTTCATGGTTTTTTTGGTAAACTTTATACTTTCGAGAATGTTTTCTAATTTTTTAACCTCTAAGATTGTTTTCTGCAAATTATAAAATTGTCATAATCTTGTATTTATTTTATGGATTATTTGATGGGCCAGATCGGGTCAAAATTAAAAGAGTCAGGTCAAATTTTATATGGGTTCCACGTTTGCCACTACTACAGAAAACGGAGCATAGTTCCTGTCACAAGCACAATGTAAGGGGCTGTTTGGTTCCCTGTTTTTGAGGGAAAGATTCTTTTGAAAGCCTGCCAAAAATGCCAAAAGTGTCACTTTTTGGCATGCTTTCAGCCAAAATCGTCTCTAAAAAAGAAGATTTTGGCTGAAAGTCTGCCAAAAAATGACACTTTTGACACTTTTGGCTGGCTTTCAAAAGAGCATTTCCCTCAAAAACAAGGAACCAAACAGCCCCTAAATGGTTTTCTGCACACCAGATTCGAACTAAATTTGCGTGTCGTACTATATGTACTATCAATGTTGGAACTCAACAAACAGAAACTTCTGTAGTACCTTTTTTATTTACTTAAACAACAGATATAACAATATCCAACAGTGGTAGCTGGATCAACTAAGGGTTGTGGAGATGTAAAATATGATATTTAAGAGAATAAAGCACAAAAAACATAAAAGAAACAGATATACGAAAGAACTACATTTTATTGCTCAATGATTGTCTACCTGTCTTTTTGGTTTTTCAAGGAAAAAAAATACTGATAACTCAGAGGAGTTTCAGTTAACAGACAGGCTTATTTTAAGGCTGTGTACATTTGAAATTTGACGAAAAAGCAATTAATGAAATATGATCGCTCATCAGTCATCAGGACTACTTCTAGTGAGGCTCAACTAGAACTATAACCCCGGCCCTATTAATGAACTTCAGAAGCAATACCGAGACCCTCTTTCATGTGAGAAGAAACTCATGAGTGCCCATCTACTGTTAATTGCCATTGATCTATACATGTGCTTCATGGTCACTCACGTAATCGATAACGAAAAAGAGCTCTAGATAATGCTACCATCTGCAATTGTACCATTCTTCAACACCACCGTGATTCCTGAGCGAATGTAGAAACCCTCTGATGGTCTCTCTGCCTCTTCCACATTCTGTAGTCAATTTATGACAGATTTTCCAAAATGTCAGCAAAATGCCAAAAGTCAGCCAATTTCAATTAAGTATTTACTTTGGCGCGGATATTTGTTTCAATACAGCAAATGACCTGACTGAGCTTATAGTATGGTGCAATTTATGTGTCATCCGTGTATATCTGTTCTGTTCTTCTGGCTGAACTTTGATTAACATTTATGTCAATATTCAAGGAGTAAGAATCATAAGAAACTTACATCTGTGTTTGCAATGACCACGTTCTTTCCAATCTTCGCGTTTTTGTCAATGATACAGTTCCTATATCAAGTGACGAACAAGGTTTATATCAATATGCCTGAAATTAGCCAGTAACACGTAATCCAAATAGGGAAAGCATACCTAATATTGGTATTTGCTCCGACACCGACTGGAACTTTTCCAGCAGCCAAGAACGAGGCCCTCTCTACCTCAGTTTGATAGTAATCTGCCCCCATCATCATGGTGTCCTAATAAACAAAATTCAACTTCCTTAAGAGGCTTCTAGTAACACGAAAACAATCATCTCTAGTTAGTATTTTAATCATTGTATTATACGCATGATTTAAAATCTAGGTCATCTTAAATTGTCAAATTGGAGGCTGCAAATATGTCAATTTCTTAACAAATATCATGGTTGTGGCATCAGAATGTGTCCGTTTAGCTCTTATTTGTCCCACTTTTAATCCCTATAACATGTGCAAAATTCTACTACGGTATATTATTTTTTGAGAAATCTGCTGTGGTTATCTAATGTTTTACCACGTCGTTCATGTCAATATTGTTTATTCACTCAAAGAAAAAAAATCAACATTGTTCAGGACCCTGTGTTCTTCTACTGTCACCCACAGCAAATTCACACTTCTCACAAAGCAAAAGCAGAAAATATAATTTGTAATGCTACACTGGGGTCCTATTTTTCACTGATTAAAGACAGAAGACGTCTCCCCTTTCTTTTACGCTTAGTTAGGAATGATATTTTGTACGTTTACCACTATCATATATAGATTTCTGCATTTGCATGAAAGATTTCACATATGAAGTTAACATCATTGGCTGTGAGCATTTTTTGCTCTCCTCTCCCACCAAAATCATGTTCTTACCATAACGAAATGTTTTTGGTATCTAGAGATTGTTTACATGAGGAAGTACCTTGAGCTCTGCCCCATATTCTAATCGTGAACGAATACCAACTATGGAACGCTCTACATTGCATTCTGTTAAGAAAGATCCGTGTGAAATAATGGAGTTCACAACCTGGAGAAATTAGAAGTATCATTAGTTAAACGACAACATCATGGAAAAGACTAATTGAAACAAGAACACCACTGAAAAATAATCATACCCGGCATTTTTCCATCTTTGTTGGAGGTAAAAACCTTGGTGAAGTGAAAATTGGCTTCAAAGGATCATAAAAATGAAACTTTGGAGGCTTCAAGAATGATTGAAAGGTTTCAGTCAGTAATCAAGTATGACAAATAAATGAGTAAAAATTCAGTAGAATCTGGAAAGAAATGGGTGAGTTCACAAAAAAAAACCAAAACTTTTTTGACCCATTACCCCCTGAACTTTGTTTATTTCACTAAACACCCCTGAAGTTTTCGCATGAAACTCCCAAGTTAACACCAATTACAGCCCCACACGTGTCGACCACGTGATGTCAATTGACTAAAATAACCCTTAGTAACAAACATTTGATTAAGGATATTTTAGTTAAGGGTATCTTGATATTGCCATTGAATTGTAACGGCATTAGTCGGTATGTTGGAAAAAAATTAAAAGTTTAAGGGGGTTATCTGAGACACCCCAAAGTTTTGGGAGTTTTATGAAATTTACACAAAAGAAGACAGGCAGATACTGAGATAATGTGATTACCTGATCAGTGAGGGCCAGATTTGCATCATAGAATGATTTTATTGTTCCAATGTCCTCCCAATATCCATTGAACAGATATGCCTATCAAAAAAAAAAATTTAAACAGTAAAGGGGAAATGGATTTGTAGCTAATACCATTTTCATTAGTTTCCAAGTTAAAGCCATCATTAACTACGAGCCAGCAGAAAAATGGGGCTCATGTATTTATTTACCTGCACATTATACTCTTTGGCAGCCAGTGGAATAATTTCAGACCCAAAGTCATTGGCATGAGGATACTTAGATCTGAAAGTTAACAACGATCAATGCATTGCTAAATTTAAGTGAATCTGAGGCAAGTAGTTTATGATAAATCATAACAAACAAATTAATTCTATAAAAACACACTGTGTGACTAGTATGCGAACTATAAGAAGAGCAAACAAAGGATTCTTTTTGTTTTTGAGGTAACAAAAAGTAAAATAACAGAAGTTAGTTTGTTGTTTGAGAGCATCTTCAATCACTCAGCAAAATCTCCATCCCTCCAAATTTGGAGAGTGAATCATCTCCAATCACTCTCCAAATTTGGAGAGTGACGGTAGAATTTGGAGAAGCTCTCCGAATCACTATTCAAACTTTCATTATTTACAATTTTACCACTTTCAACTATTTAATTTCTTAAAAATTATCACTTTTCCATCATTCTTAGTAATTTAAATTAAATATTTAATTTCAAATAAATATAGATAAAAAATTGTTAATCTAATTTTTAAAATAATTATATATTTGGAAAGGTCTCGTCGAGATCTTCAAAATAAAACTAAGATTAATTTATTTTAGTATTATTATAAAATTATTATTTTTTAAATTAAATAAATAAGTATCAGACATAAAAATTTAAATATAGAGATCTATTTAACTTGTCTCATAAGAAAATACAAGCATAAATTACAATATTTAAATTACATTCCTTCGTTGTCGTGCCTCTGTCATAAATGTTCAATTAGCCGTTCTGAAGCATAAAATGAGTTTCCTATCTTGAATCTTCCTATGTCGATCAAAGAATCGTTGGAATCATTCAGCATCATCAATCTCCATCTCTTCAGGCCTTGAAGATTCGTCGTGAATAATAATCTTTGGTTTCGCATCGCGTTCATCCTCTACAGTCATGTTATGTAGTATAATACAAGCAGTCATTATGTCGTGTAGTTCTCGCTTGTCCCAAGAACGTGATGGTCTCTTGATAATGACAAATCGTGACTGAAGAACACCAAAAGCCCGCTCTACATCTTTTCGGTATCCTTCTTCTATAGCAGCAAAGAGCTGCCTCTTAGACCCTTGTGGTTGGGATATTGTTTGTACAAGAGTAGATAGACCATTTGGAGTATATCTTATCGGCCAAGTAATAACATGTATCATAATTCTTTCTTAAAATACTATAATTAGCAGGAAGGGAAATAGCTTGTGCTAGTTGATCAAACAAATTTGAAGATTGCAGTACATTAATATCATTGTTAGATCTTGGTAATCCAAAAAAAGCATGTCATATCTATAAGTCATATGAGACTACTGCCTGGAGAATCATTGTTGGGCCTTCGTGACGTCCCGAGTACTGTCCCGCTCAAGCCGTTGGATAGTTTTTTCATTTCCAACGCATGCAGTCTAAACTGTCCAACATTCCTAAAAATCCGCACTCTTCGCCTTTCCTTAGCAACCGTGTAATGTCACCTGCAGTGGGATACCTCAAATATTTATTTTCGAACACCTTTATAATTGCCTGACAAAACCTCTTCAAGCATTGGATTACAATTGACTCTCCAATCCTAATATATTCGTCGGTACTATCCATCGAAGTTTCGTATGCTAACATGCGGTGCGCTGCTATTATTTTTTGTAAAATCGATAATCCTAATACACCAAGATCATCTCTCTTATGCACAAACTAGTTGTCATGCTCTTTACTCCGTTGATAATGCGAAGGAATAGATCTCGTCGACATTGAAACCTTCTACGAAAAAGAGCATCCTTATATGTGGGTTTCTCAGAAAAATAATCGTGCTAAAGTCGAGAGTTACCTTCTTCTCTTCCACGATTGATCACCACATGACCGGGAATCGATCCTTTACGTTTTCGTTATCTGCTCTCTTGAAGTCGACGAGCCAAAAAATTTTCAAGATTTCATCTCGCTCCTCCTGCTCAGCCAATTCATTCTCTCAGTCTTAAAGGCAAAGATCGAGGGTCTCTCCATCGGAGGAAGAAGAAGAGTGGTTCTAAGATTGCTCTTCTTCAAAGCTCATATTTTATTGTATGGAGAGAAAAGAGTTGTGAAATATTGAGTTTTGCATTTAGAGTTCAGATTAATAAAGAGTTGTGAAAGATCCATGTCCGGTCGTGTCAATATCGAGTCCTGTGTTTGTCTTCTTCCAATCACCAGATTCCTACCATCACCTCTTGTTAGGTGATGTTTCCAAGATTCCTGTCCGGTCGTGTCAATATCGAGTCTCGTGTTTATCTTCTTGTAATCACCAGATTCCCACCATTACCTCTTATCGGGTAATGTTTCCAAGATCCTTGTCCGTTCATGTTAATATTGAGTCTCGTGTTTGTCTTATTACAATCACCAGATTCCTATCATCACCTCTTGTTGGGAGACTTATATTATAAATAATGGTAGCTCTTATCCCATATGGTCACACTTCCATCCTTTCTTTCTGATTTATTTAGATAACTACTTTTGTCCACCAATCTTTCTCCATCCACTATGACATCTGTTCGAGAAAATTTATTCAGTAACCTAGAAGATTAGTTCTTGTGCTTGGCATGGTTTGAAATTTCTCAAGACCCAGTCTCAGGCACATATCAAAAGAAATATAAGATGTGGGAAATGATCACAACAGTATTCCATAAAAAGGTAGGTGATAGACAACGGACACCAAGGTCTCTAGAATATTGTATGGACACAATTAAGAAGGCAGCAAACAAATTTCAGGGTTGTGTTTGACAAATCGAGCGACTGAATCCAAGCGGAGATTCTAAACTCGATATAGTAAGTATATAATTTTACTATAGATTTTATAATATCATTTTCAACTGTCTAATATTTTTTTGTTTGTAATTTTGTTAGTTGACTCAAGCTAGAATCGTGTATGGAGAAGATGTTAAAGAAAGGAAAGGATTTCAGTTCGATCATGTTTGGACGATCCTCAAGGATGTCGAGAAATGGGCTAGCCCTAAATCCAATCATGCAGCTGGGAGCATCTCTGAAGGATCAGAGTCGAACACGCAAAGTCAGCCTAATACAACAGAGGACGTTATGCATCTCAACACGGAGAGCGAAAGTTTTATGAGCATGAGTGATGGCCAGTCTCCCACAGATAGCCCAGCAAGTCGGCCTGTTGAAAAAAAAAGAAAGAAGGCAAAAAGAAAAAAGTCGGTGGAGTTTAGTTCTGAGGAGGGAATTATTAAGAGTATGCAAGAGATGGATGCTAAACGTGAAATGAACAGGGAAAAAATGAAGAAATTGATGATAATCAAACTTAAAAATGAAAAAATAAAATTAGAATTGCGAGCTAGAGAAATATAACAACGTGACCAACAATTAGCTCTTCAGCGTGAAAGTGAGGATAGATAAATTATGTTAATTGATCTAAGTAAGATTGTCAATCAAAGTGAACGTGCTTACTATCAACAAAAATAATAAGAAATTATTAATAGAAATGAATATAGAGCTCCATCATTCGACTATGGATTTTCCTCAAGAGGGCCAAGAGTATTTTTTGAGCTTCTTAGACGAGTTGTAGGAGGAAAAAACGAATATAGATTTTCCTCTAGAGATCAAGGAGGATTTTCTCAGTTTGCGGGAGAAGCTGGTTCTATAGGAAGGAATGAATATGAGAGTTCATCGAGAGATCGGGATGGAACCAGTAGTTATAACGATAATGACCTGCCGAAATTTTAATTGTCTGTTATCATATTTTATGTTTGAGGTTTATGTTTGCAACCTATGGTATGTTGTATTAGAGGTTTATGTTTGCTTCCTTATTCTATCGATGTATGCTTTGTCACTGTTATTTCAGATTTTATTTTTTTAATATGTTGTATTGCATTATTAATATTGGGTTTATTTTAAAACTCTCATTGACACCTTTCTAATGTTATTATTATTTTTCCAAATAAATTATTAATGTAAACTATATCCAACATTATTAATTTATATGGTTTTTTTGACAAAAATTAAAACGAAAAATATTTAGAGAGTGTGGGTTGAAGCAAATCTCCAAATTCCACTCTCCAAATTGAAATATTCTAGGAATATTTTAATTTGGAGAGTGGAATTTGGAGAGTAGGGTTAGAGATGCTCTGAGCTGATTCTCGCAAAAAAGAAAGTACCTCAAAAGCTTCAACAGGACATCAGTCTTAAACAAGTAAATTCCCATTGATGCTATGTATGGAAAATTCTTAGCATCTTCAGGAGCCAATCCGAGCACAGTTGTATCTACTTGCTGCAAAATTGGAGATAACATTGAAAACAAGCCATCTAACAAAGAAAAGAGACCAGACATCTACTTAAATTTTTATCTTTGTAGTTTCAATTTTTCTCTCTAATTTGTGTACCCATCAGAATGAAAAATAAAGGCCATATTAACAGGGTGAAGGAATATCTACCATCATTCTCAGGCTTTCACCCTTTGGTTTTTCATGAAATTGACAGATACGGCCTTCTTTATCAATCTTGACGAGCCCAAAATCAGAAGCACGGCTGTGGATAAGGTAACCAAATAAATAACGTTAAATACATAAATTGTTTGATTAACTAAGAACGCACAACTTTGGGAACTAAAATTTCAAAATATAAATGTCCTATAACATCTAGTGCTGTGACATAATAAATTTTGGGCATGAATATGACAAAATATCTTCTACATGAATTCATCAACTGACTGCTTTACTGTGTACCGAATACAATTATGAAAGAGGTCTTTTATACATGACATGAGTTTAAAATCTCTGTCAAAGTATCCTTGCTTTGTAGGTTATGGTTATAGGCAAAGAAATACACACACACACACACACACACATGAATCTGTCAACGAATTGTACTAATATGTAAATTGAGATTCAAAGAATGAACAAAGTTAGAATTTTTATCATTGACCAGATATACAAACCTGTCATCCATTGGAACACACGAAACAGATATATCAGCACCAGAATCCACGTGGCTCTGTGGAAAGCTATAATATCTGAATCAATCCCGAAAGCAAAGGGAGGAATTTTTTATAGAAACTTAAAAGTGCTACAATCGATAGGAAACTAAAATCAAACCTGAACGAAGTCCATATAGTCCATCCGGTATAGATGATCACCAGACAATATCAGTATGTTCTCTATATCTCTAAGCTTGGCATCCTACATTAAATTCAAAAGTATAGTCTTCATTTGACTATTTACACGTAGATGAATACATGAAATAAATCATTCATTATTAAATATTTTAACAAATACATGTTACAAACCTCAAAGAGCCATATAAATTGTCTCACAGCATCGGCAGTTCCCTGAAACCACTTCATCCCAGATTCTCCAGGTGTTTGAGTAGCTGCTAGCACCTATATAGAGTCAAAAAGAATATGATGAATTCCTTTGATTCATCCTTAAACAAACAATTAGTATTTATTTTTTGAAAAAATTGAGTACCTCAACAAACCCATCACTAAAGTTTACACCATTCCCTAGATTATAAGTTCGAGCAAGATGACGGTTAAGAGACTGGGAATTGAACTGTGTAAGAACGTAAATTTTATTAATCCCGCTGTTAATGCAATTGCTCATGGGAACATCAATAAGCCGATAACATCCTCCAATTGGTACCTTAGGATCATGTAGACAAATAGGAATAAAACCCATTAGTTAAATCCCATGTGTAAACCAAAAAATTCTTTGAAATACATTTTGAAATACAAAAAATGTGGATATTTCTTACTGCTGGCTTTGCTCTTCTTGAAGTCAGAGGGAAAAGTCGAGTCCCCGCACCTCCACCTAGTATGATCGACGCAATGGTTTTCGGATCAGCCGCTGGTTTCAAAACTGACGGTGCCTGAACTGTCTGTAAATTTCAAAAAATATATATATATTTGATAAATTAATTCCATTTCAAACATTATGAGCAAATAATGTGCAATCATTTATGTGGATCGCAACACCCTTGAGAAATTTATAAAGAATCATGTGAGAATAACACAGTGTAGTTACATTCCTAATGCCGAAAATCAAAATATAGAAAAATTATTGTTCTCTCAAGATTTCAGATCACTAGGCTGTTCGGTAACATTAAATGTTTCATGAGAACACCACAATTTATCTATATCAAGAAAATTTTCAGAAACTATTTAAACGAACCCATCAAAGATCAGAAATTATAATGAGTTTATTAGTTCTGAATAAAAATCCATCATCAAAATTAGAGAATTACCAGCAAATCCTTTGCGACGTCAGCCAGAACAGAATTCACAGTGGAGCTCTGAGCAGCAACAGAATTCACAACGCCCTGCATTGCCTCCATGGACTCCTCTGAGAAACCCTGTTGCCAAACAAAGATGACAACTTTGCCGGGCCCGACGGGCTTGCGGTCGCCGGAGAATTGAGGCCCAGTGATCCCACCATTGGTAAGAAAAAGCCCAATTAAGATTAGCAAGAAAAACTATGAACTTTGTATCAGGGTTTTTGTGACTGAAACTGGAAAGAAACAGTGAGGTGCAGAAATGGGGGAGTTAGGAGTTTCAAGAGAGAGAGAGAAACAGAGGAGTTAGTTCTAATTCCTAGGAACAAATGTGAGAGAGTTCTGAGATCCGAGTTTTGTATTTCTTCTAAAAAAAACTATAATTTTTGACCCACATGAAGAAAAACAATTTATTTTTTATGGGGTTGACCAAGTAATTAGGTGCTTAGCTAGTGGGAGGTCTAGAATTAGTTATTCTGTTTTTATGAATCAGCGGATTAGTTTTGTATAATGGTATTTATGGATTTCCATATTTAATTTTTTTTTCTTGTTTGAGCCTCCAAAATGATGGCTCCGAATGTAATTTTTACTTTATTTTTAGTTTATTTTTAATTTAATAAATACCTGATTCTTTAATGATGTAAGTTTTTTTTTTAAATCATGTTATCATGATTAAAAAATAAATTTTTCTCTCATCCAATCCTAACTAAAAATATCCATTGAATTTCTTGGCACTCTTCAGGTGCGTTTAGTGTAGGGCAAAGTCATCACCTTGATCATTTAAAAAATGCTTAAAAAGTCTCACATTTGAATCATAAAATATGAAGGTTATTCCAGTGGAGTAGGAGGATGCAAAAATTTTCTATCACAGCACTACTTTTTATTTATTTTTTAGTTTTTAACCAAAATATTAGCTTTTTTCGTCATTACATTCTCATGTTTCATTATCATATTTTCAGTTTTTTTTCCATAAAGATATTAAAAAGCGCTCAAGGTAAAGCTTAAGTATTGTTTTCAAGTGCTCATTCTATAGTCTTTTAGAGAATAATCCTCTACAAGTAATTTAGTCTGAGTAATATGCTATTCTTCAATCTTATTGTCTTATTTTTATTGTCGAAGAAAAATATTTAATTTTAAACCTCTGGCACGGTTGGAAGAGACTTTTTTGAGAAAAACGTTATAAAGGGACTTTATTGTCATATTTTAGTACGTACCGCTAGAGGCAAATCATCTCAAATAACAAATGTCTACCGGCAGAATCAAGATTAGTTATTAATGATGATTAGATAATACTTAAAATACACAAATATACCTTTTTTTAAAGAATACGGTATAATGCCATATACCCATTTTCATTAACATTAATAAATAGATTTCATGGCCTACACGAATAGATACACCAATTTGAGAGGTTCTTAGAGTAAGGGGAGCAAGCTCTGAAGGAGGCTCTCAAGGCTGACGTGGCCATGGAAGATCGCAGCCCCCCCTCCAGCAAGCTCTGAACCCCTCCCAAGCCCCTCTCCTAAGGCTGACGTGGCCTTGGGGAGCTTCCGAGCTCCCAAGCGCGCTCGGTTGGGGCTTGATTCGAAGATGACGAAGGGACAGGTGGCGCTCGAACTGGGGACGAAAATTTGAAGAGTTGGGGACGAAGAATTGTGGACGAAAATTGGGGACGAAGATGATTTGAGGAGATGATTTGGGGAGATGAGTTGGGGGCGACAGTGTTTTGATTTGGGGGCGACGGGTTTTGATGTAAATTTTTTTTTTATTTGGCTTTCAACTTCGCGTGGAACAAAGAAAAAATACTACCGTTGGTGAAAAATTATTACCGTTGATGGGTTGAACGTTGGTGAAAAAATTTACCGTTGTGTGAAAAAATGACTGTTGAACAGTAACAAAAAAACTCTATAAATTCACAATTCACTACACAACTCATTCCACACAACTCTCTCATAAAAAAAACTCTATATTTTCCTATCAAATTACAAATCTCATGGATCCCTCCCAAAACAACTACTATTCGCATCTCCTTACCGGTGAAGGATCGGCCTTATACTCGCCGTTCTATACAGAAGTCGTAGAAGAAGGTCATCCCATCGAGTTTTCACAATCCGCAACACAACAAGTGTCATCCCAAGAAACACCGACCACAAATAAGAAGAAAGCTTACACGCGGTCCGAAAATTGGACTGTCCACGAGGATAAGCTTCTTGTGTCTGCTTGGCTGAACACGAGCCAAGACTCCATCCAAGGCACAGGGCAACACAAAGATAAGTTCTGGCACAGAGCTAACGACTACTTTATCCAATACTCCACCGATCCAACGAATCGCACACCAAACCAAATGATGCACCGTTGGTCAACGATTCAACTGTCGGTCAACAAGTTCTGCGGGTGCGTTGCTCAGATTGAAGGAAGACAAAGATCTGGTACGGGAATTATTGACCAGGTAAATATTTAACTTATATGTTTTTATGTAAATATTTAACTTATATGTTTGATTATTCTAAATTTAACTCTTGTGTAGACTGCAGAAGTAAAAGAATTATACCAATCCCTTTATGGTAAGCCATTCGTGTTGGACCATTGCTGGGTTGAGTTGCGTCATCACCAAAAATGGAACCAACAAATGGAAACTTACAATAAGATTCGATCACAGCCGAGAAGAACCACGAACTCTGATTCCTCACCAAATAATTCCATGCCAGCGACCCCCATCGAGTTGAACATTGACTCGGATGATGTTATAGCAAGGCCTGAAGGGAGGAAAGTGGCAAAACTCAAGAGGAAACAAAATGTGGACAAATCTGAGTCCGCTAAGTCCATTATGGGAGAGGCTTTCGCGTGGATGAAGCAAACCAACAAAGAAAAAATAGAGCTAAAACAGAAGAAACAATATGACGATATCATGAAGATCGATCTCTCAACACTCAATTCAGTTCAATGACAATACTTTGAAATGCGTCAGGCAGAGATATTGGAGAGGTGGATGTCCAAGGGTTCTTCCTAATTATCATATATTGTACTCGCATCGCATCCTTATTAGTTCTTCCTAATTATCAAATATTATCTTATATTAGATTTATGACTGTACTTGAAGTTGAAAATTTTGGCATTGAATGAAAACAACTACTTTATTGAAAATGAAATTGGCGTAGTACAACAACTTGAACTCCTTTTCTGAAATTACATTAGACATTAAGAAACTTAATCCTCGGCGATGGATCCCTTAAGCTGCCACAGATGCTCGATCAAATCATTTTTTAGTGATTTGTGTGTTTGCGTGTTCCTGATCCGATGATGATTTTGGATGAACTCAGTTAGAGGCACCGTATGCACATGAGAAGGTTCAACGACTGGTACCGAATCAGTAAAGTCGAAGTTGTTGTCCAATTGACAATCACGTTCATCTTCAACGATCATGTTATGCATTATGATACAAGCTGTCATGATATCTTTCAGCACACAAGGTTGCCAGAAACGTCCTGGTCCACGAACAATCGCAAATCGAGCTTGCAACACGCCAAAAGCTCGCTCAACATCTTTTCTTGCGCTTTCTTGTTGTTGAGCAAAGTACTTATGCTTGTTTCCTCGAGGTGCTGGAATAGTCTTCACTAATGTGGACCACTCTGGGTAAATCCCGTCGGCGAGATAGTATCCCATATTATACTCGTGGCCATTGACAATATAGTTGCACGGTGAAGCTCTTCCCTCTGCAAGTTGTGCGAAAACCGGTGAACGATGTAGAACATTAAGGTCATTGTGAGACCCCGGCAGTCCAAAGAAGGCATGCCATATCCAAAGATCTTTGTTAGCTACGGCCTCCAAAATAATTGTAGGTTCATGAAAATGTCCATTATACATACCTTGCCAGGCAGTTGGACAGTTCTTCCATGTCCAGTGCATGCAGTCGATGCTCCCAAGCATACCAGGAAAACCTCGTTGTGAGCCTTCCTCGAGAAGGCGTGCAACGTCTTCATTAGTCGGTGCACGAAGGTATTCCTCTCCAAAGATGTTGATAATCAATCGAACGAACCTCTTCACGCTCTCAAGCGACGTACTTTTACCGATCCGAACGTAGTCGTCAACGGAGTCAGCGGATGCTCCATATGCGAGCATCCGCATAGCTGCAGTAATCTTTTGAAGACTAGATAGTCCTAACTGTCCAGCACCATTCCTCTTTTGGACGAAGTACTTGTCATGTTCGACGACTGCGTCGTGGATTCGAAGGAATAACGATCGCCTCATTCTGAACCTTTGACGAAAATAATAAAGAGGATAGGTTGGTGCGTCAGCAAAATAATCTTGGAATAACCGATTGTGGCCTTCCAGTCGGTTTCGATGGAGCACGATACGTCGTTTGTGTTGAACTGAAGTTGAACATTTCTCTTGTTCTTCTTCCTTAACGACAGCAGCTTCCATAAGAAAGAACGTCTCTATCATTTCATCATCGCTAGAGCTAGATAAGCTAGACATTTTATTCTGGGAGATGATGGGTTGAGGAGAGAAGCCGTTGAATTTTATAGGCATCAGTCGTGTTTTCGTCAAAAGTTGCCTTCATCATTGATTTCATTAAAACTTCAAACGTTACAAATGAATTCAAACAACAAAGAAATAAAAATTATAACTTTCTTGAAAATAAACACAAGATCCGTTCGTCGTCTCTTGCTTGCGTGGGTCTTTAGCCTGTGACGGGGACGTCGATATCCGTGGACTACCTGGCAATCAGATCTGATCCAGAGCTTCGTCGATCCGCGAGGAGATCTAGAAACTTGAAGCGCCTATCTCGGATAAAGCGAGATATTTGCTCTTCTTAGTATTATCGCAACGGGATAATACTAAGGATCGGGTACGGGTGATGTAGATCTGACGAAGAAACTCTCTTGCGTTGAAGTGCTCGATCACTCTTCACTCCGGCAGGGCTTCGCCTCTTCTCCAAAATTCCAGATATGAAAAAATGAGGCCTAAGGCTTGTATTTATAGGCATGAGGGGTTACGGAGCGGTTAAAACGGCTTAAAGGCCCGAATCCGTGCTGGAGGGCGTCTCACCAAACTCGAGACACCCTTGGGGTGTCTCGGAAAATCCGAGACACCCCTGGGGTGTCTCACATTGACCGAGACGCTCCGTTGAGGTGCATTCGTCCGCTTCCGCTGTAAATTCTTCGTTCGAACTCAGATTTTAGTGATTCAAAGTGCGTTGAAAGTCTGACGAAGAGTTCTATCAGCTCCAATGGTTGGATTATCTGTAGGATGAACGAGATACGAAGGGTGTTGTTCCTTTTGTAAACATCGCGGGGCTCCCGATTAGCATGTGCCTTCGTTATTCCGAAATTCGTCGATTCACTTCAAGCGTTCACCGACGTCAGTCGAACTCCTGTGAACCAGATAGTGACGTTCATTGTCGTTCCTTAACACTGAGCTGTTCGTGGAGACCTATAGGCAATTTTTGATGCCTACAGATACCCCCTCCAAAGCGTTCCAGACTCGTTTCTTTTATAGAAGAGGCTGGAATACTTTGGATGTGATTGATCTAGCCTTCAGTCGGCATAAAGGACCTGTAGTTAGCTTTAACTCTTGGCTCCTTCGATTTTCGGTGTATTCGATGCTTTGACGAACAACCGAAGTTCTTCCGGCGCTGCGTTTATCGCCTGGCCGTCGTCGGAGTCTCGAGTCTACAGCTGATGAATTGAGTTTGGCTCGTGTCATTGAGTTAACTTTGAACTACCTCCGTCACGTTGCGTTGACTTAGGGTTTCAGATCACCGTATGCTGACTTTTTGTCGCAACGCGTTGACTGGCGTTGACCTAGGGTTACGCGTTGACCGGCGTTGACCCTAGGGTTTCGAACGTCGAAGGTTGACTTTTTAGTCACAACGCGTTGACTAGCATTAACCTAGGGTTACGCGTTGACCGGCGTTGACCCTAGGGTTTCGAACGTTGAATGTTGACTTTTTGTCTCAACGCGTTGACTGGCGTTGACCTAGGGTTACGCGTTGACCGGCGTTGACCCTAGGGTTTCGAACGTCGAATGTTGACTTTTTAGTCGCAACGCGTTGACTGGCGTTGACCTAGGGTTACGCGTTGACCGGCGTTGACCCTAGGGTTTACGGATCGCCATTAACACAGTTTATACTCGTACGTTTGCTGGAGTATACACAGTTTAAGCTCTTAAGGTATTGGAGCATAGCGGTTTCAAGTGTTAAGCGAATTCGGATTCAAAAAGGGTTCCGGAGGCTCGAATAGGGTTAAGACACCCAAGGGGTGTCCCAACAAAACCAAGACACCCTTGGGGTGTCTCGGTTTTGCCGAGACACCCCTTGGGGTGTCTTGGCCAAAACCGAATATCCACCCCCTTTTTTCCTTTTGTTGTTTCTTCCTTTTGAACTTCCCTTTTTGTCATTGCCTCTTTTGTTTTCCCCCCTCTTTCCATATTTTCAAAAGAGAGTCTTTTCCTTTTTTAAACTCCTTCTTCCTCATTCCCTCCATACACCATTGTTCCTCTCCTTCAAGAACTCCAAACCCACAAAATTTCGGATTTTGTATGCTCCTCTCTTGGCCGAAAATTATTCTCCTCTCAAGCTAGGGTTCTTTTCATCTTCAAATTCAAGCTCTTGATTTGGGTAAGTTTTCTTTCAAAACTCTCCTCTTTTTCAAGAAAGATCGTAGCTTTATGTTTGTGATGGGGGTATACCATGAATTCTCATGCAAAGATCACAACTTTTTGTTCTCACGAGTTAAAAAAAAGGCTCTTTGATGATGGGTTGTGTATGCACAAGGCTTTGGGGGGTTTTATGCAAAAAGTGTAATATGGCCGAAATTGAGGGGCTTTTATGCAAAAGTGGACTGAAATTTGAGGACTTTTGTGCAAAAGTGACTGAAATTTAGGATTGAAATTTCATGTCTATTTGTCCAAAATTTGAGAGGTGTTTGCATGCCAAGAATCAATATTGTTTGAGGGGTTTATTTGCAAAATCAACCCAAAATATAGAGGGGTTTATTTGCAAAAAGGGCTGAAAATTCAGGGCTGAAATCCCAAAAGTTTAGACCACAAAACCATGGCCAAAGTTTTGAGAAAGGTGTGTGGAAACTAAACCGAAATTTGTGGAGGGGTCTATTTGCAAGATTGGCTAAATTTTACAAAAAGGGTTTATTTGCAAAATTAACCAAAATTGTGAAGTATGAGGGGTGCTATGTGATCAGATATGATGACCATGACCCAACTCAAGCGTATCATTGACCTAAATTTAGCCTTGAACACGAGGGGTATTTTGGGTATTTCACCAAAATTCACCACAAAATGACAATCATTGTCTAGCATGCACGAAATTTGTAGGTTTAATTAGACTTCAACTATAAAATCCTATTTATTCATAGGACTTTAGCTCAAGTTCTTAATTTCCCTTTTATATTTCGTGTATTCATATTTTAGATTGTATCTGACTTGCTGCTTTTCATCGCAGGTTTTCGATGCCTCCACGTCGATCTCGACCTCCTAGGAGTCGATCCCGTTCGCAGCCTAGCGAGGAAGAAGTTTCCGCATCATCCTCCCCTCCAGCGGCTTCCTTTTTCGGGGGTGAGAATCTTTATTTCTGTATCCCTGATTGATCCTTTCGCGGGTCATTAAGGAAGAACCGACACCCTCCTTCGCGAGGGTTAAGGTTTCAGGACATTGGTGGTTGCGTACACCCTCGTTTGACCCCTTCGCGGGTCATTCGAGAAGGGCCGACACCCTCCTTCGCGGGGGTTAAGGTTTCGGACTTGTTTTGCTTAGCCAATTCAAGTCCTCTGGTATATTGTGGCGATCTTGTGTCGTCTTACACCTTGTAGGTCGGTGTATGTTACCACGTTATTTGCGTGATGATGCATACCGTTCTTCCAGTGTAGGACACTCAAAATCGTCTCTCCAATTGTCCCGCGAATGATCTTATCTCGCTTCTTTATCAGATGGATTTTGTGACTCCATTCTTGTGTTTTGTTGCAGTCGAATTCCCCTCGGGCAGCCTCCCTCATCATGCCCCTACTGGTTGTAGCAGGGAAGTTTTCTCTTCGGCTTCCATCAGGCAGGCCATTGGTCCGCTCCCTCAGTTCGACAGAGACCGCTCCGACGAATCCTGTCGTTTGATA